GCCCCTGAGCCACGTGTTGATCAGGTGTGATCATCCTTCTATGACAGAATAAGAATCATTCTTGCAATCAAGTTTCTGCTCCAAATACCCGGATTTATAGCTCTGAAAGTTGTTATTTTCCAACCTGTATTTCAAATTTGTTTCTTTGATAGTCCTATCTTGTTTGAAAAGCTGTCCATCATAAAAGTGGCAAAACAAGAAAACAAAAGGGACACCAACACAAAGCAAAACATGTCATTTTTGACTGAATTGTAAAAAGCATTTCTGAAGACAAACCACACTGCCTGAGTTGACATATTATATTAAACTGGGGGTTTTGTTTGGGTTTGGGGGGGGCGTGTTGGTTGGGTTTCTTTGGGGGTGTTTTTTTAATTTAGGTTTGGTTTTTTAATTGTGGACACACACAGGTTTTCATAATACGGTATGTTTCCAGAAACGGGATTAATTACAAGATACAAACATACAATGTTACAATGGTCCAAGTGTTTTCAAGTGCCAATTCACCCCATTTTAAAGAAGACATTAGGCCCTTGAATAATTTAGCTACTATCTAGCAAGTTAGTACAGTGGAGTTGCTGACACTGAAGATATTGCCAAGGTAGTGGGGGTCTCCATCTTCAATGCAGCTGCAGCCAAGGTCACAACACTCCTCTGGGGGACTAGTTTCCTGTTTTGATCAGCCACCACTAGAGGTATAGCTTATGGCTGAGTTTGTTCACAGTATGTTTTTGACTAAAACCAAAGGACAGAAAGCTCTCATCTCAACTGCTTCCAGGGGTGGTGCCTGGCATGTAACTTCAGACCTACTTGTTGCTATGGATTTGTCTGATGAGCTGGACTCTTGGCTGAACGTGGTCACTACCACCAGACATGCCCTGCTCACCTTAACTGGGTACTGTAGAACTGTGACTTTGCTGGTGAGGCCACTGCCCTGTGCCTGCCATGCTGTCACCTGAGCTCCCGCTTCCCATTTGTCACTGGATTTTACTGCCCCATCTCCTGGTTGAATGACACACAGGAGAACAGCAGAAAAGTGTGGAACTTTGAAAGTAGAAAAAAGCCAGATACTCACACAGTGAAGGAATCGGGGGGAGCTGAGACTCTCCTCAGGTCAGCAGACTGCACTTTATGGATACTATAGGCAGCAGGAAATGAGTGGCCAGAAGAAGGGCGGCACACAGTGTGAACAGACAAGGAAAAAGGCAGAGGGGGGAGAGAGAGAGAGAGAGGGGAAGAGAAGAAAGAAAGAGAAAGACATACAACATTTAAACAGAAAGGAATGTATCACAAAAGTTGAATGAAGAGACATGCAGAGCTCCAAGTTCACACGAGGAAGCCAAGAGCAACAGAAAACATGCAAACGGAGAAAAATCACTGCTATGTGGCACACAGGAGCTTTCTAAAGTCACAAGTGAGGAGCACCAATGACAAACTAGGCACATGCCTGTACAAGGAATTTGAGGAACCCCACGATTTGTTCCACAGGCACTGAAAAATTTCAAGGCAACAGAATTTGGAAGCAGGTCCAGAAATGCAAACAAACATCAAAGCCAAGAATCTGAATGGATGGAATTGTCTCCAAAGGTTGGACAACTTTAATGTTTAAGAAAAAAAAAAAAAAAACCCTTACTGGAGATTTTGTATCCACAATGACAAATTGCTGTCTCCATTCTTCTTTCACGTACCTTAGGGAAACATGCATTTTATATACAGTAACTCCCAAGACTGACTCTCTTTTAGTGTTTATACTCAAATGGTCCCTTGGTTTCTCTCAAGTGTATGGAATATGTTTTATCTGTAAGCTCTTCTTTCTTCTTTCTCTTCCATTATGCAGGACATCCTTCCTCAATCCAAACTAAAAGCCAGTGAAAACAAAATACTGCCTTTTGAGGTCCAGAAAGTGATCATTAACTGAAACTTACTGAGCAGCACACTAAACTGTAGTTTCTAATCAGAAAATGACTCCTGGAAAAATTGAAGCACAGCTTCTCTTCTTATTCCACACACATTTTGCTTATAGCTCGCAAGAACCACATTCTTGGCTTGATCACAGAAAACTAAGCTTGCCCTTTTCACATGTTACCATGATCAATAGTGGAGAATAGGAATAAGAACTTAGCCACCAAGTCTTTTAAGTGAAAGAGAATAAGAACATAATTCACTCTTTTGCAGAAAAAACCTAAGTCTGCTGATCTGGCTGTAGCAAAAATTTGCTTTTGCTGGTACAAACAGAAGAGGCATATGAAAAGAAAAGAAACGCACCTTTTTTTTCCCCCACAACCCCATCATCTGCATTGTTTCAATCCGTAACCAAGTGTGAACAGCGTCGCTTTATCCTGTATATACTTTGCACCTAAGAAGCTGCTTTTGCCTTGAAACACTTTATTGAATTGTTACTTATCTCCATTGTAGAGCAATGCATTGTAGGATGAGGAAGAAATTATTCCTGCCTTTTACGTTTGGACAGCCTCCATTAGAAACAAATTAGAAGCACTGTAACTGTATTCACCAAATAATGACTTTCCTCCACTATGCTTCAACTCTAAATTTTAAAGTTATCATAAAAATACAAACTGTAAACAGGTCATCTTCACCTACTCAAGAGTACTCATATAATCTGTATGTCACATCAAAACAGCTTAACTTTCCAAAAGGAAATGTTAAAAAAATGAATGCTTGATGAACAGTAAGAAAAGAGATTACTAGTTGCAGCAACTAGTCCACAAATAATTCGGGACAATTAATATACTGAGAAATTTATTTGTAGGCAATTCAGCAGTGAAAGATGAAATAACTGAATAAAATATTAATTGCCAGTAATTCACCCACCTATGACAAAATGCAGCACATCATATTTACTTGTTCCCTAATAGCTTGGATGAAGATTTTCATGCTGCTGCTGTCAACAGGAATGAAGGTTCCTTCAGTTTATGTAGCCCCACAGAAACACTAGATTTTTGTTCCTTAATTTGATTCCATGGCCAACTTTTTTTTTTTAATTAAAAGACTAGAAAAGACTAGAAACATTTACACTGTCAAAAGTGCTGCTGAATTTTCCCCACACCTTGAAAAAGGCAAATTATTCAGTAACAGATAAAACAAGGACTCTCAACATATAGGACTTTCTACCTTGAAGGTCTGTGCAGAACCACATGAGGCAGTTTATGTGCAGTTTGAAGGTGCTGGAAGGACAATAGTGGGAAAATGGAGGGAAAAAAACAAGTAAAAAAAGTTCAGATCCCTTTTCTCATACAAAAGTGTCCTCTCAGAGCATCTACCGGTTTTGGAGAACAGTTGCAGCCAGGAAGATGGGCAACTGTTACAGTCAGAAGAGAATCATGTTTCTAAAGCCCTCCTGCTCCCAAGCGAGAGAAGCATGAGATGCTGTTCTTCTCACTCAGCTACATTACACATGGGCTCTTCAATTTTAAAATACTATTATTCCCTGGGAACTCAAGTGCATCCACAAGGCAAACAACAAACTCACTATCCTCTCTCAGCCCCCTCTCCTTAAAACCTCCAGAACAAAGGAAAACAAGGTAGAAAACAGAACTACAGTATAAAACTTCCTCAAATTAAGGACTTTTTTATACTTATGACACTGGACTAGCTAAAACTTCAGAGAGCATTCCTACAGCTCTCCTTATCTAGCAATAACATCAAAGCTGACAATAATAGCAACTCTGTGTGTTACTGTGATGGGAGATAATTTTTTTAATCACTTTCCTGGCAAGGAGCTCAAGAACAGCTGTCTAACAACTAAGGATAGCTCCAGACTCACTTGCTTATCTCATACATCTAACATTCAGATGACAGTTATAAGAGAATAATCTATCATGCTCAATCAAATATGAGACTTGCTGGAAGATTTCAATGGAATAGGGAGATATATTCCAGATATCAAGTTAAGGAATGTAGATAAACATATTTAATTGAAAATTTTCTCTCTTGTGAAATATTGCAAATCATCATATTGAATGAAGTTCTTGCAATACTACAATGCTTCCTAGAGTTTAACCTTTAACATGTCATTTGCTTTTTATCATGCCAGGAGATACAACTCCTCTCTTTCATTCACCTTCAACACTGGAGAGAAAAGTACATATGCACACAGATACATATCTATAGGTATAAATATATACACACACCATTTGCAATATATGAAGCTGAGACTAAAGTTCCTGACAGATCATTTGTCTTCTCGCAAAACACAGGTCCACAGACAAATACCTCAGGCAAATCAAAGGACTCTGACAGCAACATAGTCTACCAGAGCACATTTAAATCAAGCTAAACCACAAAGAATATCCTCTTGACAACTGGCATATACTATGAATCTGTATTTCCTTATACCAGTTTAAATTCAGATCTCAAAATCCAAACCTAACCATGCTAATTATCAGATCAAAATACCAGGAATTTTCTTTTTACATTTTCATTAGCCTCCTTCAGTATAGAAAAAGATGCCCAAGGATTGCTCTCTGCTCGATTCTAGCTTTCACAAATGATTGAGTTGTTGTGCTTGGATGAAACCAGGCACCTCTGCACAGACAAGGGTCTGTTATTCTTCACTGCTCAAGAGAGATGAGCACACCTGATGTATTTTCCAGGTAAGTAGGAATCGTACATTACAGGCATGGGCTTCTACTGAAACATAAAGCATCAGTCTCAGTAAGAGAACACAGTGCTAAATTGAACAGGAAGATGTTGAAAGTAACCGGGGAGGCTTTGATTACATGAACAGATTGACAACCAGCCGATGACAAGAAGCTCTAAAGGGCTGGAGTCAAAGTTTGAAGTGAAGAAGTATCTTCCGCTTATATAGTTAGAGATTATAGATTATACAGTTGAAAGACACAGACAACCATTAAGATACCTGAAGAGAAAAGGTGTGCCTGAGACCTTGTCTGTTTTTTCCAAGTTAAATGAGTTAATCTAATGAGCGATATGACATCTCTTCGTAAGTCTTACCTCACCATTACAGCTGCAACAGCAAAATCCCCCACCCATCCCCCCAGAAAAATTAAAACTTCAGTACATGGATGTTTGAATGAAATGTGGATTCTTGATAATTTTAGGCCTTTAGCTCAGTATCTTTGTATAAGGGACAGACTGTTTTGCTTCACCTTAAGAATATTTGATGAAAAACTGCAAAGGCACTTACTGTCACTTGTTTTAGCTGCAATAAAGACCTATATAAGAAGCCTGAATATGAGTCGGCAGTGTGCTCAGGTGGCCAAGGCGGCCAACAGCGTCCTGGCCTGTGTCAGAAATAGGGTGGCCAGCCAGAATGGGAAGGGAAGTGATCGTGCCCCTGTACTCGGCACTGGTGAGGCCGCACCTCGAATCCTGTGTTCAGTTTTGGGCCCCTCACTACAAGAAGGATTCTGAGGTGCTCGAGTGTGTCCAGAGAAGGGCAACAAAGCTGGTGAGGGGTCTGGAGCACAAGTCTTATGAGGCGCAGCTGAGGGAACTGGGGTTGTTCAGTCTGGAGAAGAGGAGGCTGAACGGAGACCTTATCGCTCTCTACAACTACCTGAAAGGGGGTTGTGGCGACGAGGGTGTTGGTCTCTTCTCTGAACTAGTGATAGGACAAGAGAAAATGGCCTCAAGTTGCACCAGGGGAGGTTTAGATTGGATATTAGGAAAAATGTCTTTACTGAGAGAGTGGTCAAACATCAGAACAGGCTGCCCAGGGAAGTAGGGGAGTCACCATCCCTGGAAGTGGTCAAAAACCATGTAGACGTGGCACTTCGGGACATGGTTTAGTGGGCATGGTGGTGTTGGGTTGATGGTTGGACTTGATGATCTTAAAGGTCTTTTCCAACCTTAATGATTCTATGATTCTATTCTATGATTCCAAGTACAATAATCAGCTCTACAAAATAATCTAAATAATTTTATTGGATGGCCATTTTCATAGGTCAAAACTTGAATGTTTATGTTTTTTCTATTAAAATATCTCCGTAGCTCTTACAAATAAGGTTTAATCATGAAAAGGAATGTTAGTCCTGTCTGTTTTCTTCTCCACGTGTTCCCAGTTATCTTAGCTTTTCTCTATTCATCTTTACAATACTCATTCCTCATTTGGGTTTTCATACTGGAGAAGGATTCCTTACAAAATGGAAACAGCTCTTTCTGGACCTTCAGGTCCTTCTCCATAAACAGTGCCAGGCAGCATGCTCCTACAACAGAGACTACAAGATATCCTGAGTAATTCTTGATTGTGGCAATTTGTTACAAGGTTTCCAATTGAGCTTAAAAAGCAGATCAATAAGGTTGAGAAAATAAATCAAAAGAACTTCAAGAGCAAATGGCATACATATGCAGAACTGTCAGAAGCCAAGAGACACACTGCTGAGCCTGCACAAACCTCTCCAAATAAATAACTGAAAGACACAACACCTTTCTAAAAGCAAGACAGAGGATAACCCAGGAGATAAAAGAATAAAAGAAAATTAGGTAAGTATTTACAATACAGTCGAAAGGGAGTTGAGGTGTGAATATTTTTTTTTTTTTTTTTTTAAATGCACTGCAAGTCCAGTACATGCAAAATCTGTGACTGAATAAGCTGCCCAAAACAGGCTTCTTGCCATTAGGACATGCACATATTCAACTCACTCATTCAGCAAAGGCATAGATGTTCTCCTCTTGCTCTTCTGCACCATGTTGGCCTGGTTCCTTAAGGAGATCCGAATGAGTGAGGGAGCCAGTCGACATGGCTCCCCCACCCCCTTGCTTGGGGTGAATCCGATGGGGTGGGGGAGCCAGTCGACATGGCTCGCCATCCACTTGCATGGGGATAGACTTGTAGGTTAAGAGCGTCACCTCACGGCACTGATGCAACCTCTCTCCATGACCACCCACCTGGAGAGCAGCCTGCAAAAAAAAAAAAAACCCAAACAGGAAAGAAAGAAAAGACATCTCAGAGCACACAGTTGAGGCAGTTAACAAATCCGATGCTGACAGCATCCATTACACAGTATTCCATGCATAAGACATTCTAACAAAGCACAATGAATGTATTTTCACGCAAAAATTGCAAAGCAGTACTTAAAATTTCACAAAGAAAAGTGGTGGGCAACAAGCAGTTGTCTAACCATATCCATTGAATGTCTCATCACCATCACACGTCTCATCAATATGATTGACCTATGTCAAACATATTACAGGCACACATGCAAGTATATGTACACACATATGCAGGCACAAAAAAATACCTATGTTCATTCTTAAAGTTTTCAACTATTGTGTGACTATTAACTCTCATCTATCAGACACAGAAAAAAATCCTCTATTAATGAACTACTAACAGAGAACAGCCTAAACACAAGTCAAGACCTTAATCTTGCTCTGTGCACTTAATATTGTGGATCAACTGATAATATGATCAATCATATTCATAATAGTAAGTCTTAAAAAGTACTTCTCTTCCTTGGTCTCACAGACCTTCCTGGGTATGACCATGCACATCTGGGAGATGTATACAGCAAGTTAGGATTAGATCAATACAGTCTAGGGTTACAGGGTCCCTCAGCATCAAAATCAACGTAGACTTGTAGACCCTCAATTCTGAACTAGGCTTCATTTAAAGAGAAACAGCAGCTTAAAGGGCCCTACTTCTTAAATTCTGTTCCAACTAAAATTGTTGGTAGTTTTTGAGATCATTCTAGCCACTGCGAATGGCTAAAGCCACATAAGTGGCAAACCCAAAAAAGCTTCCAACTGAAAACTGCCAGTTGGTACATACTAGACTTTTGACAGCATTTTCAAAAACATACCCTAAAATCTTCAGGTGTGAAGTAACAAAGATTCATTCCACAAGATCTACTAGGCTAACAAACAAAATTTTTCTTACTTGTGGGTTATTTCCCCAATCCACTAGATACATCACAAAAGAGAGGCCAAAAAAAGAATCCTTAACCCTGACAGACTTCTCAAGAAATGACTGCTGACCAAGATCGCCTTTTACTTTTGCTTACTTTGAAGATTAGATTTGTCTAAACTTCTCTTTGAGGAAAAAAACACCATTATCATGGGTATTCACTGAAAGCAATGAGGGCAGGTCACACAACAAGTAAGTGTGACAGTTTAATGATAACAGGCTTATCCGTATTAGTTTTAACCTGGTCCACACAAGACATAGTGGTAACAAAGGCCTAAGAGTATGGACTTAAGCACGATCTATACAAACCTGCCAGGAAGCCCAGATACATGCCTTCTGTTGGCCATGCTAAGTTCAAGCTGCAGTGCCTTAGGTAGATTAAAGCTAGCACAGGGATAACTACCAGCTCCCTGACTGCATTTAATCATCCCCTGAAGCGATTGGCACTGTGTTTGACCACTGTGATAGTAGGATACTAGGGTATTTACAGTGAGATTGCTTTTATGGTTACTCAACTTTAGTTCACTTTAAGGACAGCATTGACAGAAAGTGAACTACTAAATTAAAATTGTTGGCTGAATTTTCTTTCAAGAGATAATATTTGTGCCAGAATTATTAATTTTCCCACAGCTATTACTAAAGCTTCACAACATTTTTAGTGGGCATATGGAAACTGCATGTGCATATAATTTTATATAATATTTCATATTTCTTTCCAGAAGCCAGTTTTACAAAAAAATTTGAACTTTTATGTCATAGGTTGAAATAGACAAAAGCTAAAAAGAAACAGCAGTAATTATTTGACCATAGAACATTCCCACAGTAGAAACATGCCTGCATGCTGTTCTTACTGTAATAATCTCGCCGTTTCTTGGGAGCGCTGTACATGCAAATTAGCCATATTTTGCAAAGAACACATTTTTATTATTAAATAGCACTTCTTTTATTAGAAAATTACAATTTGTCTCCTTAATTTAAAACCTAGCAGCAGAGCATGTTTTGGCCTTAGCTGAATATGCAGAATCATGGTGTTTCTTCAGTAACGAGGACAACCTTGCACTCTGTAGCGCTGCCCACGGGATTCACCAGGTCTGGCAGCACCTGCAATGTACTCACCAGCGAGGCCATGGTGAACCCGATGACTTCGATGTAGCCATCATCATGCCGCTGAGGCTCAAAATCTCTGTGGTCTCCAGGGTTTCCCCAGGGCATTGTGCCAGCACAATACCTACAGAAAGAGGTTTGGAAAGCAAGCTCTGAGAATGCAGTTTGCCCTGACGGGTCCTGACTAGTAGCCTGTTCTGCTGTCCTCCAGAAGTACCCAGATATCCATCCCAGGATTCAATTCAGAGGCACTTAAAAGTTATGCTGACAAGGACTGAACAAAAGAGAAAACCCGTCTCCTTTTTCCAAGCTGGTACAACATCCATAAATGTATCCATCATAACCTTTAGCAGGTTCCGCTGTGCGAGGGAAATGGGGAAACACCAGGAAGCAGGTAACAGAGCGACAGCACTTTGTTCTACCCACTCGCTTTGCTTTCTGCAGACGAGCTGTTGAGCCAGGAAGCTGCGCAGCCCCCTTGGCTAGGCAGGCATGGGGCTGCAGCAGCAGCACCAGCCTTGGAGCTCCGTTTCCTCTCTCCCTGCTGGCTCCGCAGCTCTTAACAGAGCAAGAAATGCAAAACATTGCATAGCTTGAGGAGGCAAAGAGAAATAAGAAGCAGGAACAGATGCAGCCGTGGCATCTCTCTCTCCTACCATTAAAGAATGGATGTAAAAGTGATCTAAAAGTGATAGAAGGGGGAATTTTGGAGAGCTGATGCCAAGTAGAGGCAGTGCAGGACTAAAAGATCAAGTGCTTGGACTGCATGTGGAACAAAGTGGTAGGTTGTCTGAAGCAGTGGTCTCCAAAGTGGAGTGCACGCACCACAGTGAGTGTGCAAGAAAAATCCACAACTGGCAAGACAATTGGGGTGTGTGAAGAAAATATTATTTGTACATTTAGCAAGTAAGGAAAAAATTAAAATTGTGTTTGTTTTATCTTTATCACATCCTTAGTTAATTTCTATTTTTCTGTATGTTTTATAATGTATGTGATATACTAGTACATACGTATAATTTATAAATGAATATACATATATTGGGGGCATGCTCACAAATTTTTTTTACTGATAAGGATGCACAATCAGTAAAAGTTTGGAGACCACTGCTCTAGAGAGCAGGAGATAGACAAGTTTTAAGAATACAGCTATATTTCTATTTGGGACACCTTCTAACACGTTAAAAAACAACACTTCTTTCAACACTTTGGTGTTCCTTTACCAGAAAAGCATTGATCCTCTTTCCCCCAGCCACACTGCTCCCCACCGCCCCGACCCGCTGTTTTTCCACAATCAGCTTCTAATTAAGCAAAAGACCAAGCATCTGTGCCTTTACTACCTTGTTTGCAGGTTAGGTGCACAATTTTTGAAAGCATGTTTGTTAATCATTTTTACGATCTCTGTATCAGGATATTCAACTTTTTAAAGGATAACTTCACCACACCCTGAACTCTGGTCCCATTCTGTATCGATAACTGACAGTATTAACAGCTCTCAAGAAGGCAGCACAGTGGCAATATGCTTCCTGCACGTTCACCCAGTCTAGGACAACTTGTAGGTACCTTTTTTTTAAAAAAAAAAACTTATTTATTATTTTTTCTTTTATAACTCCAAGCATCTGTCTTGAGCTTACCTGGGTATGTTTAAAAACACTATACACTGGAACTTCAGCTCCTGGATCTTTGGAGTCAGGTCTGTACCATCACACTACAAAGCCAAAGTGACAGAGCACAGAGAAATTGCTGAATGGAGCCACAGACAAGAGAAGTGTTGCTGCTTTGTAACAACTTTCCCAAGACTTTCCTTGGAATGTGTTGCAAGTGTCATGCTCAAAACTGAAAAGTAACAGAGCCATTAAACTCTCACCTCGCTCTCTCCCTCCATTCCCCCCTCTTCCCACAATACTATGACACAATTTCTTATACTTACCACAACTTTAACATGCTTGGATAAATCTCTCGAGCTTCTTTGCAGAAAGTCTGTAAAGGCTGCCTGCAACAGAAATAAGTGCAGGAAATGTCAACAATGTCTCCTGTCTTCTCTGTCCTTATTTCTTATCCCACCACAGAGCTAATTATCAAATGCCATCCTTTTGTCAAACCCATTCTTTCTTGCTCTCAGGAGATAAAAAAATTTTAAAAAATCCTAAGTTACGATACTTCTTCTTTTGAGAGGTTAACAAAGAAGGTCCTTGGGTACCCAAGGGTTTCAATGCAAATCCTTGCTCACGTATTTGTTTCCATGTTTCAGGCACATGAATATGGTGGAAGTCATCATCCAGAAAGACATAATATGTCATGCATTATCAAATTAGTGTTTCTCTCAACTGCATTTTAGAATAAAGCGTTGCCCATGTACCTCCTGAATGCAGAAAGTGGGTAATTTTATCTGCATATTCACACATGAAAATTAATCACTTCAAATGTCTGATCTCTGCCCTCCACTCCCCATGACCCTACATCCAAGACTACTTCCTCAAAGCTACAAAGGTACAGGTCAACACACGGGGAATTTCTCTAGGAAAGTCAATATCGATGTGCTGCCCACACTCTGAAAGCAGCACAGCAGTTTGCTGAGAAGCTTACAAGCCAGAAGCAGGGGGGCCAAAACATGACCAGCACTATGTCCAAGGCAGTAGCATTTCTCTCACCTGCTAAGCACTGTAAAACAACAGCACTTTCCGCACTTTCCAACAGACACGTGTGTGGCATTGCCAGAAACGGTACACGTGCACTTTAAATTGCAACAGGCAAAACAAACTGGTATGAGCTCCTGATGTGAGAAAGTGAGGGGGAAGGTACTTAAGAAAACATTCAACCAACTAAGTGAGCATCATTCTGTAAAACGAATCACAACTCACCCCTGCATAAAACATTTTATTTCTAAATCGGCTGTTGAATTTCTCTGGATTTGCTTCTGTGAAAGGATAAAAAGGAAAAATATGAACATCCTAATAAAACAAGTAGACTCCATTGTACCTTCACATTCCTTGCTAGCACTATAGTGTTTTTAGCACACATCACTCAGTGAAAATACTAATATAAATATCTTTTTCTTGTGTGAGAGTCCCCCACCTGTGCCATTATCTGCTTTTAGATTTCAGACTTTGATATTGAATTCTTCCCTTTTCCTGTAGAGTGAAAATAGATGGAAACATGAGCAAAGAGGTAACAGGAATACAATGAGTTAATTTATCACCACTCAGGCTATTCGTCTCTTGATCCCTCAGTAACATTTGAGAGACTTCTGTTTCTACCAACCCAGAACAGACCTCTAAAAATTATTAGAGATCCATGAAACATTAACCCATGCTTTGAAGCAGGAGTAAAGCATTAGTAAATTACAAGATCAAACAAACATTTAAATTCTGATGTGTTACAAAGAGGATATAGACATCTCAACCCAATATTCCTGCAGCAAAAAAAATAAGTGGCTACTCCAAAACCTAGAGAGCTGTTTCATTTTGATTAGATTCCAAGTGATGGAGGATCTTGATAGTCTATTACTACAGGTAATGCACATCTAATGGTTAATTATTCTTACTGGTAAAATAAATGCGGGTTTTTTCCCCTATCTTGAACTTCTCAAACTTCAACTGCCAGCTGCTAAGTCTTATTATACTTCTCTGTCAGATTAAAGAGCCCCCAACTATGAGATATCTTCTCCTTGAATAAACACTTAGAGGCAGTGATTAAATCGCCTCTTAACCTCTTTCTGATAAGCTAAACGGAGCTCCTTTAATCTCCCAGTGTAAGGCAGGTTTCCCAGAATAGAGGTCATTCTCATGCATCCCTGGGAACTGCTTTCCTAGCCTGTGGCTTCCAGAGATTTCAGAAGCAGCCCTCCTGACACTGTATTCGGTGTATTGAGTACCAACCGCCTAGTCTTGCTCAGTAATTCTCTAGTGAAAACATCCAAGTATCAATATCATTCTTCTGGCTCAAGCATCACACTGGTATGAACACTTCCAAACTACCTCTTCTCAAATGACCTCATGAAACAATGCTTCCAGTTCCCTTTGAAGTCACTACATCTCACAGTGTAGGCTCCACTTAGTGGGAATGAGCTACTTTGTGTTTCCTGTTTGATTGTTTGCCCAGCTGCTGTATCATCCACTTGCGTGCTGTGGGTCAGCCTGCAACACAGTCAGGGCCAACCTCTTCCTCTAGCGATTAATTTAACTGCATAAGTAGATCTCATCTCACCTACCGAGCTGACAGCTCTTTACAGAAAGTCCCAACACCCCATGCTAAGAAGCAGGAGGCCCCTGAAGGCTCAGTGCCTGTGCCGCACATTCTTTGATGTGGCTCTCCCCTATGGCTCTGGGCAGCAGCCACCAGGGCACTGGCTCTTACATGGATCTTATGGCAAATACTGACCAGAACCAAAGCCCCAGTTTAGAACAGAAGAGGAGCCTTTCTGAGATCAGGGACTCGGCAGTCCTTCAACATACTGAACTGCTCCTACTTCCGAAATAGCAGATGAGCTAGGGTAGGGAGGAAGGACTCTCTCTGCAATGTGGAATAAAGCCTAAAGTTGAGTGCAACTTTGATTGTAGAAGTAAATCACTGACTGCATATCCAAGGCTCACTCCATCCCCACCATTCTCAAGCCATCAAGGGAGTAGGAAATGGAACGTGTTAGACTGTGTGTATGTGTAGTGGGGGGGTGTCCCACTGCAAATGAACAATCATGTAGAGTTGAGGGATCACAAAGCATGTCAACAGGAATAAAGCATCTCCCCTGCTCCACCAAAGCAGAAGGATAACAAGGGAAGAAACTGTAAAAAGTCACTACCCAGGCCACCTCCTGAAGAAAGAGAGCTAAACACGTTATTCTTGGAGCCAACCCTCAAGGCTCAATCTGATTAGTCACAAGAAAAGTGGAAAAGTTGCCATGGAAAAGGCCACATTCATATACAGGTTCTGCTGAGACATTGCAATCAGTGCTTACTCCAAATATAACAATTGACCAATCTCTATTGCATAAAATGCCCTGATAGACTGAGTGTTCAAATCAATTTAATTTATTTTTGGTTGGGGGGGAGGATGTGTTTGTTTTAATACTATATGTGATTACAATAGCTTCACATATGCAACTTCATACAGCTATTTATCTTAATGGACTAAGTGCTACAGTCATGAAAGTGCTTGTAAGTTTTGCTAAAGTTTTGCTAAGAGTTTTTCTGGATTGTCACCAATTGTGAATGAGATCAGAATCTGTTTTGCACTGCTTAATTCATAGAATCATAGAACAGTTTGAGTTGGAAGGGACCTTTAAAGGCCATCTAGCCCAACCCCTCTGCAATAAGCAGGGACATCTTCAACTCCATCAGGTTGCTCAGAGCCCCGTCTAGCCTGACCTGGAATGTTTCCAGGGATGGAGCATCTACCACCTCTCTGGGCAACCTGTGCCAGTGTTTCACCACCCTCATTGTGAAAAATTTCTTCCTTAGATCTATTCTGAATCTGCCCTCTTTTTGTTTAAAACCATTACCCCTTGTCCTATCACTACAGGCCCTGCTAAACAGTCTCTACCCTTTTTTTTTTATAAACCCCCTTTAAGTACTGGAAGGCTGCAACAAGGTGTCCCCGGAGCCTCCTCTTCTCCAGGCTGAACAACCCCAATTCCACATGAAACACAATAATTAACACACACACCAGCGACACCTCCAAGGCTATAAGCTTTTCTCTCCTAAAATACATAGGGCTCACTTTGCATTTCGTATTTTAGCATTTGAGAGGATAAGGCAGGCACCAGCAGTAATGACTTGTAAGAGCAAACACTTGTGCTATGAAAAGCTCTTCTGGCCACACATGCCCACTCACAGATACACAGCTTGCTCTGCCAAGTATTTTTTCATCCATGTAAATTTTTGAAACACTGGCATCTCTGGAATAACATCCATTCTTTATAAGGTACTATAACTTCATTATTAAGTAATGCCTCCATTAAGTGAGAAAGTAGCCATGCATTTCATCTATACAGTATATTCACAGTCACATTAGCAATGCACAGCGATATGCATTCATAAAAAAATGCATACAGCTGTCATCATTTCATTCCTGTGCCCTTTCTTGGCTCCTCATTATTATTCCTAAAGCTTGAAGCAGTCTTAAGCACTATAAAATATGCATTAGCTCATTCCACCATGTATCCTGCTCTTTATTTAGCATGGCATTATAATGCTATCTTTTCATTTTGAAATGACACTCTGATAGTATGAAAGTGAAGATAAGGGAGACTGTGATTCAGAAAAAATGAAGCTGAAATGACCAAAAGCTGAACACAGACAATCAAACAAGGTTTGTTTATGTAAGCATGCTTGTCTAAACCGTATAAATAGAACAGTTCACATCAGTCAAAGGCCCACCTGTTAAACCACTTTTGGATCTGTATGGTGTGATACAACCATCAGAAAGGGGCCAAATAAGGTGCTACAACAGCTCAAATTCCCGACAGTTTTGGGGACGTTAAAACCTTTCACTTGCATAGAGACACTAGGTCTGTACCACATCCACTGATATTTTGCTATACTCATCCATAAGTAGCAGCTGTTCAGTTTGAGAACAGTCATCCTTCTGATATCCTGCTACTTCCACAGTCTTGCAGTTTTTCTCCTCCTTCCACCTTCACACTTGAACCTGACTTACATTTGTTTTTCTTTCTGCTCTTATTCTGACGCTTCTGCATCAACATAAAACTTCCTTTATATCTGAAGTTGGTATCTCCTTTAGAAGATCAAAACTTTGAAAAGCTCCCCTTTTAACCCTTCTCCTTCAGTGAATGCCATTTTTCCTTGTACTTTTTCCATAAATCATGAAGTCCCTTGGAAACTCATGATACAATCCCTTCCTTCCTATTTGTATCTATCTTGGGGTTTTATGTTCCAGCTTTCCTTCTGAATTATAAGAACAGGATGTTAAATCCAACTCCATGTGCAATTCATAAGATAATTGCCCATTCCCAAGGCTAAGGAAATAAAAAGTTCCTGTTACCTCTAGATTCGTGGAATTCCAGTGTGACATGTGCATCAAATCCAAGACTGAAGTAATTATTGAAGACACTGAGTGGAAGCTGTAATTGAGTAATAAAAAGACATGTAAAAATAACATGAAAGAAACATTCCACGACACATCAGGAATTAACTACTTTAAACCTGGCTTCTCATAAGTTCCACTTCTTTTTAGGTTTTTATCAGGGACATGTATGCAGAAGGCTGCTCTGAAGGTTATTAATGACTTGTGGAAGACTATCAGGTACAAAAACCTAAAGAGCACAAACACATCTACAGTGCTTTATGATCATATATGTATTTTTATAAAAACATCAAAGGGTTCCTTATGTTGTCATTGAGATTTCCCATAATGCTGCTCCACTTAACATGTCAATACAAAGATTTTCCTAATTACTGGCACTTCAAGCTCAGCAGGGAGAACACAACTCAAGCTGTGTTCTTCCAGCTTCCTATGTAACCAGGAGCAATGCAAGTCCCAGACAAGTGCTAATTCTCTTGAGGATGCATGAGGCAGGGAAGCACACATGTGGCCTCTTCATCATTACACGTGCCCAGTGGGGCTGTAGAGAGAGAACAGTAGCATCTGATAGATAAGCTAGAAATTATAACTGAGAAGAGGAAGATGGTTCACAGAATCATTTATTTATGATTGTAACAATTTCAACATTTCCAGTCTAAATGACATATTACTATAAATGTGATACCCTCACATAAAATTTTTCCCATTCTTCAACTATCAAGGTACACTAATGGATACTATATGGAGACGAACACAGAAAGAAATTAAATACGAAAATACAGTACATCTTGCTGGAAAGTAGGAAACAGTTGGTATCCATTAGCAAAATCCTAAGGAATAAAATTCTACGTCCTGTTTTTAGTTTTATCTAATTTAGGAATGGGTGGAAGTTACAGGGTTGCTTCTCCTGCCACCCCAGATTTACTAGAGAAAAAAAAAAAACAATGATCGTTCAGATAAAATGCTAGGGACTTTTTACAGAGTTCAGTTCTTGAGATAAATGTTCAATGCCCAGGAGTTACAAACAAAAAATAAATGGTTCTCATGCATTACATTTCACACAACTCTGGAAGCACTGACATGTGAAAAGAGCAAAAGGAAGACATGCAACTAGAGAATTAAAAAGTTTTAGAGTTTCCCCATTTATGCAGCTTATGGTGTAACCCAAAGATGTTCTTAAGCATCCTGTAGTCTCCCTGGGAAAAAGAAGGCTCTAACCTTACGTGCCCCATCCTCCAGCTCATCCTGGGGCAAATCAGGGTTGCGCTCAACCTGGAGATTCCAGCGGTCCAGCTGGACAATGGTCCCATCTTCTACATGGCACAGGATCTTGGACACTGGCTCATCTGTGTAACCCTGACAGCAGAGTGTCACCAGAGTATCAGCCATGAACAGTGAAAGCAAAGCAAGTCACTCACCAATTACCTGGCAGACCTCCCTCCTTTCACGCAGGCCTAAGACACCAGATCAATTGTTCCTAAGAACACCTCAAAATATTGCTAAATTTTTATACATCAAACATTTTAACAAGCTATTGTTTAGGTACAGAAGTTGGGCGGCAGAATAAAGCCATACGGAGAGGAACTCAAAGTGTATTTGCCTTGCCTGGAAAACTCCAGTGGTGTAGTCAAGGATAAATACAGAGAAATAAAGTTTAAACTATACTTAAATTAGAAGCCTGCATATCCTCCTCATTACTTGGCCTGAAATATCAGACAGATACATCTATGTAAACATTTATTACAACTACGTCGTTAGTAATTCAAGACCCCAGACTGGAAATTGAACCAAACCATTGTGCCTAACTGAAGGAAACCTTAGACACAGCCCTACCTGCTATTTTAGCCAAAATGAAGTTCCACCCTACACAACTAAGTCAGAGCAGCAAGTTGAGAGCCCACACATAAGGATACCCCAGTCAGTGCTTACCCCACCCCAGTTGAGGGTGCGGGCAAGGTCATTCCCAGTGCCAAGTGGAAGGACAGCCACAGGAGGCGGGGGGCTGAGTTGCAGCTCATCTAGGATGGAGAGGATCCAGCCCACCTATAACAAGGGAAATGCAGAGAACTGTTGGTCAGGAAGATTAAAAGGGATGGAAAAAAGGAAATGGACATATTTTGATCATATCCCTTTTGCAGAGATCAAGTAAAACAAAAAGGAGAAGGAAAAATTAGGAGAGCTGAAATTTAACTCTACAACTGCCCCACCTGAGGTTTCATCTTTCAAACAACAGGTACAGCAGTTTTCATGAAAATCCTGTGCAAGCAGAAGCAATAGAATGTAAACACTGGTTATTTTTAACAGCACACAGAGTTACCGAGACAAGGGAGCACACAAGTTGCTGTTCTTTAAGCAGGAAATTACACCTGGCATTATAAGGCTGCCTAAATATTGCTCTGAAAAATACTGTATGTAAAAATGAGTGATGAATAATATGGACAACTCAAGATAAATTTCTTGAAGTGCTCTTATGCTAAAAGAAACTAAACCTTTGACAGCTGTCATGAAAGAAGATGCAAGAGACACACTGAAACAGCATGGTACCTCAGAACATGTCCTGGAACCAACAGGGTGTCCTGATCAAGTCAAGCATGGACTTGCTCACAGATATCCCATTCCCCAGACAAGAGACCTTAGTGCTGAATTATTTCACTCAGTGAAAAGTATAAAAATATAAATTTATTCTACTTATACACACACACACACATATATAAAAAGAGAAGACTAAAAGACTAGAATAAAAGAAAAACTCTAATGCTCAGGGTTGAAGACTTTGGTTTGGAACAATGACTCTGGGTCTTCTGTACCATAAATTGTTGGTAACTTTAGACACTTGCTTCTCTCTCCTGTCCCTATTCTGGACTACACAGAAATCTAGCCAGAAGGAATAAATTACTGTAAAATATTTTGTTTTCATTAAATGGTAATTTCCAACAGGGTAAAGAAGAGTTGCTAAAAACATTCTGAAACTTTTTATGAAATTATGTATAAATAGCATGTATCATAACAAATTGTGCAATTATTAAAGCATTCATCTGAGATGCAAACCCGCATTGGAGTTCATCGTTGGACAACAGTCATCTCAATCACAACTCTTATGAACTTGGATATCATCAAAGGTACTCAAGTATCATAGGCACCACAGTAGGACTGAGTCCTTAAGAGATTTTCAGAGATAAGCAATCCTCTACCTTTCAAAAATCTACCCTTATGTGTTGATAACAGGATACAGAATAAGGAGTCCCGATAACTTCACTAGGGCCAGGACTTCTTAAAGACTCTTTTGTCATCAGCCCTTTGTCATTGTCACTGACTTATGTCTCAGTCTGTGCCTCAGTCTTCCACTGGTGCAGGTAGCATTACAATACCTACCACTTTTGTAAATGCTTTTTAACTGATAAAAGAAGCTTCACATTACTAATTTATAAGTACAACATTGCTATTTAACTTGAGATAATTTCTAAACCTTTACATTACACATTAGTTTTACAACCAAGGATAACAAAGACTATAATTTCCCTCTAAACAGACAGCTCCTGTTGCAAAGAAACAAAGCAAAGCTTTCTACTTATGCCCTGGAACGGAACAGCAAGCAGCAACGATGGAAAAGTTGCAAGAAGTTCTGGTTCACCTCAATAATGCAAGGTAACATATGGTCTCATTGAATATTCACTAAGTAAGTCCATTTGAGACAGATTTTTCATTTCTAGATGTAATGTCTTTGGGAATAACTAGATATTAATTTGCTTCAAACGTAATAGCAGAGCGCTGCTCATACTAATGAGAAGGTGCTGCCACCTATCGCTTGCACTGCTCAGCAAAGGGAAAACAAAGGATGGGCAGACTCATCCATTCATTTCTGTTTGAGTATTTTCGGGATGAGTCCCGTCCCCCCCCCGATTAAAATATTGGCTTCCTCATCTGGAAGAAAAAGACCTTCAGAAATAGATTGAAACCTTTTTTTTTTGCAGCTTATGCCTCCTGCTAAAGCAATGCTTTGCATGTTTCTCAAGGAAAGTTCACAATTCAGTAACAGTAATATCTTATTTTTCCAGGTACCAGCAAGACAGTAGTCTAATAATCGGGTTTTTTTCTTCATTCTTGCAGGGGAAGCACTGGTATTAATAATCTCTACAGCTGGGGTTTTAAAAGAACACATAGAAGCTGAACAGAAAGTTCCCCCAGAAATTCAAGCAGAGATGGGTTAAGGCGAGGGTTCATCTCATTACAAAAAAATAAAACCCTCCCCATGCCCTGAATATCTACATGTATCTATCCTGGCCAGCCATTGCACCTTGCAAGCCATAATGCATCTTCCTTACCATACTTACTGCTACAACTATTATCAAATGCATGTTTGGGGAACTGCGCTTCACAGAGATTAAAGGTCAGTTTTTCAACTGTATTTAAGCGCTCAGTGGCACAGACTGAGACTGACAATATTCCCAAGAACTGAAAGAGTAATGCGGTTGTAATAGCTCCATTACCAGCCATGGCCTCCAGACCCTGAACTGCAGAGCCTGACTCCAACTGAAGGTCCCTAAATCCTTTAAAGATCTAAGCCCTATTTGCTTACCTAAGCACACACCTCACATCACGCGGTGGGAAACCCACAACTGAGCACCATTTACTTCCTTGGCAATGACCACAGGGCTGCCAGGCACCGGCCACCTACCGTGCCGTCCCCGCCGCAGGCCAGGATCCGCAGGTTTGGCACTTTTCTGTACAGCTCCAGCCTTCCAAGGAGAGGG